ATCAGATTTCTGCACCAAACTATGAAATGGTTTTCTAATGGATTAAATTGTCCTCATTTAGTCAACCTTCCTCCACTCAAACTTTCTGCCTCTCTTGCTTTTCTTTGCTTACCATTCCAAATTCAAGATGTCCCACCAGCTCCCTCATACCATATTCACCCACAGCACACACAGAGGTCCATACTGAGCAGCACCACTGGCATGCCCTGCATTGCAGTAATGGTGACACCTAATGTTGCACAGAAGGATGCAGGCCATCACCTCCTGCTTAACTTCTTTGAAGCTGATCTATCTACTCTAGGGAAACCAACTGACTATTATACATTAGGAACATTTGATCCTCACAATAATGCTGAAAGACTGGAATGGCCATTTTAAACTCACAGATGAGGTAACTGAGGATCAGGGTTTGTTTATGTAATAATATATAACACTGTGGAGATGTAACAGAATTGAAAAAAACAAAGGAAAAAAACAACTGAGAAAAAAAGTAAAATACAGGGGCTGGGGTTGTGGCTCAGTGGTAGAGTGCTTGCCTAACACATGTGAGGCCCTAGGTTCGATCCTCAGAACCACATATAAATAAATAAAGTTAAAAATCCATTGGCAACTAATAAATATTTTAATAAAGCAAAATATCTTGTTAACCACCTTCCCAAAGAATCACTATTCACTTTTAAAATATATTTCCTTTACCTCTATTTCTCTCTCTCTCTCTCTCTCTCTCTCTCTCTCTCTCTGACAAAATTCAATACTTACTCTTTATGTAATATCACATTTTTAAAAAAATTTACCATTCTGTTGTGAACATTTTCCAGGATAGGCTCATTTTGTTGGTGGAAGGGACTAGAATATGCATTTGAAGCCGTAAGAGAAGGCCCCATATAGGGCAGCACAATGGGAAGCAATCCAAAGCCTTGGGGGAAGGCTGAAAATGAGGAGCCTATAGAAAGGCAGGAAGGCTGTCAGAACACTGGCCACCACATGCTTTTCCTATTTCACATGTTTCCCGAAGGCTTCTTAGAAACATGTGTTAGGAAAGGAAGGCTGCCTGAACCACCCAGTCTTCACCATGATCCCAGTTCCCCACCCCCAATCATTATCCAGCCTGGCACAGATCCTAGAAGGACACAGGGGGACCATCAAAAGAGATAAAGAAGAAAAACGTGTGAGGGAAGGTTTGGAAGGTGAATATAATAGATTTGTCAAATAGGAAGCAATATACACTAAGTGTGTATATAGATATACCACACACACACACACACACACACACACACACACATATTCACATGCAATAACTAAGAGTCCTACATAGAGTCAGACAAATGTGTTTTCAAATTCTAGCTCTGTCACTCATTTTTTAAACAAAGATTTTATTTTTAGAGCAGTTTTAAATTCACAGAAAATTTGAGCAGAAGATACAAAGATTTCTATACACCCCTTGCCCTATTCTGCATAGTTTTCCCATTACCAGTTATCATTCTTTTTTTTTAATTATTCTTTATTTTTGGCTTGCAATATCACATTTTTAAAAAATGTGATATTGTTGAATAAATGAATGAACAAAGTGCTTTCTTCATGCTTCATGCCAGGCGTGACAAATTGTTGAGAGTTGAACTCTCAACAATTTGTTAGGACTGATGACACAGTACAATCATCCAGAGTTTATAGCACACATTAAGATTCACTCTTGGTGTTATTATGCATTGTACGGATTTGGACAAATGTATAAAAACATTATACATTATAGTATACTACAGGTTAGTTTTACCACCCCCAAATTTCTTTGTTCTCCACCTGCTCATCCTCCCTCCCCTGTCTTGACAACCACTGATTCTTTTACTGTCTCCACAGTTTTGTCTTTCCAGGTCTTATAGCTGCAATGATATAGTATATATGGCCTTTTCAGACTGGCTTCTTTCCTTTAGTAATATGCATTTAAGTTTCTGACATGTCCTTTCATGGCTCTATAGCTACTCACAGGCATGTTTCTGTGAAATTTTAGGCATATTACTTAGTCTCTGTAAGTTTCACTCTTCTCATCTGAAAATAGGCCTGACAATAGACTTATATGCATAAGGTCTTGTGAGAATAAAAGACAGGCAAATGTGTAACATACTTACTGCAGCGCCTGGCATGAAGAAAGCACTTTGTTCATTCATTTATTCAACAAAAATTTAGTATCTACCATGCTGAATGCTAAGTGCACAGCATTAAATAAAACAAACAGGGTTCCTATCCTCATGGAACTTAAGGTTCGAAGATAAACGTAAATATTTATGCAAAAATTCCATACACTTCAAGTCTATAATTTTGAACTGTATAAATAATTTGAAGAAAACAAACTATTTCTAAAATAGAAAAACAGAGAAACTGATTTAGTTTGGTGGGAGGGGATTGAGACGGCCCTTAGGGAGGGCCACTCTGAGGAACTGATATGAAACTGAGACCTGAAAGCTGAGCTGGAAATAGCCAGTTGAAGTGCTTTTGCGGGGTTGGCAGAGGAAGTGTTCCAGGTAGAGGGAACAAGTCCTAAGACAGTATAGAAGATAGTGGATTGAAGGAACTGAAACATCAGTGTAACTGGAGTATAGAACTAGGGGGAACAGGGTCCACATGAGGTCAGAGACATAGGCAGATACCAGATCTTGCAAGGGGTCACAGGACCCCAGTAGATGCCTATTCTTTAGAGAGTAGAAGGAGAAAGGGAAGCCAAAAATAAAGAATAATTTAAAAAAAGAATGAAAATGGGGGGAAAAAGAGTGATACAGAAGGGAGGGAGATGCTGGGAGTGGTGAACAGTGGAGAGGAGAGAGAGGGAGAACTAAAAGAGCTTTTAAAGTCAAAGGCGAAGAGAAGTTGAGGAGGACAAAGACTCAGCAGAACCAAGCAATTCAGCAAGTAAGAAACCTTTGAGACCTCTGAGCCAGCAGGTTCAGAGCAATAGCCAAAGCGAAAGCTAGACTGCAAGGGGTTCAGAAAGTAGTGTGTGGTGAGGAAGGAAAAGAAGAGAGGAAGTTAGCAAATGTGCTTTTTAGAACTACTGCATTGTGATGAAGGAAAAGAGAAAGTTTGAGTGATATCTAAAGGAAAAATTTCTTCTTTATTTTTATTCATATTGGTATTTTTGAGCATTTTTCTAAGATAAGGAGAAGGATTCAGGATAGAGATTGAAATCAGAAAGTAAGACTGTTTGTGTCTTCAGCAGGCTGCATTCCTGTGGGTATTTTGCCTGCAATTAGAAAGTGGTAGGTTCTGTTGTTGAGGGCTGCAGATCTCAACAATGCTTGTAGTTGTAGATACGGTTAGTCAAGACTGTACAAAGCATTTTCCTGTTTTTTTAAAATTAAAACTATAAATCAAATAGTCATAATGTTAACTCTTTAATAACAATAGGTATTATAAATTTTAAAGTAAAATTTCAAAACACTCATATCCAGACACAATTAAGAATCTATTGCACTGGCATTTAAGTACTGTTAGTAGATGCCTTAATGTAAACCTGGTTTTATTTTTCATTTGATGGAATCCTTTCGTTGTGATCTTGAATCATTTCTTTGGTTCAAAAACCTATTAGGGCAGGTCCATATTTCAGGTCAGTTTTATATCAATAGCTCTTTAAAATATTTCTAAATCTAAATTTCCCATTTGCTCATAATTTTTCTTCTGCCTCAACAAGACATGGAAGGACAATGACCCTGCTGGGTGAGAGATGCATGGAATGACAAAGTTTAATTTTACTTATCCCATTCCCTTATCATCTAGAGACAACACACATTTTCCATCTCACCACCTCCCTGTTTTTGAAAAGCAAAAGGAAAAAAAAAGACAGATTTCTGATTTTTATTTATGTATATCAAAGCTAAATATGTACATCATTTAAATAACTAAATAGTTCTTTTATGTTACTAATTACAAAAAACCAATTCTCCACCCTCTACCCACTTCTCAAGCATCAGAAGAAATCACATTCAATGTATTAACTAATTCTTTTTTTGATAAACAACATATCTCTAAATGACTATTTTATATATTGGCTTTCCACTATAGAAAGTAGGGATTTATCCTTTACCCCTTCTCATGCCCCACCCAAACATATTCCCTTGGCTCATCTATCCACATTATTAGATTGATACTCAATGTTTATATTACTATGGCTAAATAAATACTATCTATACCTGTATTGTATTGTTATAAAATAATTTATGAATTATGATTTTTCTTTCCTCAAAAACATTTTGCTTTTTCTAGAGTTAATAATTGTCTCCTTTTTCATTTGCCTATCTCTTTCTGTGCATATGTCACTAATTTAATTCATGCTCGCCATCAGTTGTTTAGTCTTCTCTTAATATTTTCAAACAAATTTGGTACTGTCCCAATTCTATCTTGAAAAACAGTTCTTCCAGAGCCTCTCATCTGCTCCTATCTGGGCTGATTGTTCTCCAGGCCTGCTGGACAGCTGTCCTCTTAGGATCTCCCTTCACCACGTCCTGGGGATTCCCTTCACCTCTGTATTGAGCACCCTGGTTCCTGGATTACACCTCTTCCTCTTTCTTGATTTACTCCTTTGTTTTGAAAGAGCACATTTTCTAGTACTTTTCTAAGAGAGAGTGCAGGGGAGATACAAATCGCTACAGGGCCCTGCCCATGTTCTTTGGCACTTAGGACATCCATGCCTTCTAAACTGCCAGCACATATCTGTTTGCCTGAGTGCTTTTTCAGGCCACTGAAGGTTTGTTCAGGAAGTGTTGGGGATTAACCCCCTTTTCCCTGGAGCAGCCCTTAACCAATGACTGTTGGGTTAACAGATAAATACCCCAGCTTCTGTTTTTTGCATAAATCTCCCAGAGTGCTCCAACAAAATCAAGTTTCAATTGTTCACAGAAACTAAAGGGATATATCAGCTTCCTTGTCTCACTTCTCCACTCCCCAGCAGATATTTCTTGGGATTATCTCTCAAAAAAACTACTTTTGTTCTTATATTTTCTATTTTTTCCACCTTTTTTTGGATTTCCTTTTACAAAACTTCTACTGAGTTTTTAAATGTCTACTGCCATATTTAAATTTATAAGATCTTTTTCTTTTGTTCTCTAACTATTCCTTATAAAATTGCTTTCTGTTCTTATTTCATATATGCACTTATCCTTCTAATCTTTTTGAGGCTATAATAGTTTTTTGTTTTATTTTCCTTCCAGAGATGTGTTGTTTTCAAATTACCTTAAGGGCATTTGTCTCCAATATGTCAGGGTCCCAGAGAAAGATTTCCTAATGTCCAAGCTGGCTGATGGGTCCTCAACTAAGAAAGGGAAGAAGGCAGAGACAGAGTATCTCCAATGACTCTAGGTGATTTTTATATAATCTCCTTCTCCCCCTCCCCAGGATGTCCTTTTACGCAACAGAGCCTGGTTTCCCCTTGGTTTTACCATCATGCCAGAAAAACAAAACAAAAATCAAAACTTCCATTCCTTGGCTATAGTGAGGAAGGGACAGTTCACCTGACACAAGCAAGTGGCTGGGGAATCTGGAGTTCTAGTTGTTTCCTGAACTGACTTTCAACTCATCCTGTTGCTTACATCCTTAATATCACTCACGTTTCCAAATGATGAGCATCTGGGAGATTCTGAAATATCAAAGCAGGCTGCTTTAGCTTTCTTATCTACTGGCCTGGTATTCAGCTTGCTCTAATCTCTTGATCCAGTTACCACATCCACATAAATCCAACTTTTAAGTTAACCTTGTTGTCCCTTGTGTATTCTTTTTTCTTTAGGCTTATTCTTTAGGAAAATTCATTTACCTAAATTCTTATTTGCTTACATATGGATGAAGAAACTCTGTAAACTCATAGAAGAAACTAATGCTTGCCAATGGACAGGAAGAAAGTGGAACTGGGCCAATGGAAGACATGGATGAAAGAAACTTTGGTTTGTGCTTCTTCATATTTTTTGGCTTTCACATCATGTGCATATGTTAATTAATCAAAACATTAATTTTGGGTTGAGTTTGAGGAGGGAGTGGAGTGCAACGCATGTGTTGAATCTATTGTCTTTAACCAGAAGTCTCAAGTGTTGGTTTTCTAGATTAGCAGCATCAATACTGAGATCATGAGAAATTTCCCAATCAAAAACCATTGTAAACAAATAGAGAGCAATAAGCCAAAACACAGATTGATTTGCTTCCCTGAAATTAAAGATTTATGCAAAACAAAGAACAAAAAAAATAAATAAAACAAACAAGACTGTTAGACCAAACCTAACTAGAGAAAAAAATATTTGCCCCTAATATGACAAAGGGTAGTTTCCTTAAATTATGGAGTTCTTAAAAAGCAATTATAAACCAGGTCAAAATCCAATAGAAAACAACAAAAGGCATAAGTAGAATATACAGGTAAGTAAGTACAAATGGCTTTTAAAAAAATATATTTATTTATTTTTAGTTGTAGTTGGAAACAATACCTTTATTTTTTTATATGTAGTGCTGAGGATTGAACCCAGGGCCTCGCACGTGCTAGGCAAGCACTCTACCACTGAGCTACAACCCCAGCCTCACAAATGGCTTTTAAGATTGTGAAAAATGCTCAATCTTACTAATAATTTAAAAAATGAAAATAAAAACAATACAAAATTACTAAAATCTGATAATATAATTGATGAAGTGAGGATTTGGAGATATAAGGAGTCTAAAACATTTTTAGGGGGATAAAATTGTAGTGCAATTTGATAATATCTATTAAAATTAAAAAGTTACATTCTTTGACATTAAGTTACATTCTTTGTCATTAAGACATGTTTATAAGAACACTCACCACAACATTATTTGTAGTCACAGAAGCTGTATGCAACACAAATCTTCATAGTAGTAGTCTACATACATAATAATATATTAATTCAAAGAGATATTAAGTAGCATTTAAAAAGAATGGGGCAGGGCTGTGGTTGTGTAGAGTGCTTCCCTAGCATGTGTGAGGCACTGCACTCAATCCTCAGCACCACATAAAAATAAGATAAAGGTATTGTATAAAAAATTAAAAAAAATTAAAGAATGGGGCAGCTTTATATTCAGGAAATTTTTTGTAACATCTATTTTTAAGTTTAAAAGCAAGGTATGAAACAACGAACGTATGGAATGACCCTGTTTGTGTATATGGTGAATTTCAATGTTTTTTCCTCAATATATAGATATGCCAGTGTACAGAGAACATCTCTGGAGGAATACATAAAAAAATCAGTAATAATGGCTACCTCTAGAGAAGGGAATGGGAAAATTGGCGGGGAGGGTTGAGAAAGGGGAGAAAAAAACCCATTTCTTCTTAAATATATTTCATCTTTTTGTTAAAACCAAGTACGTATTTTTAAAAAATGGGAGTATTAATCAGGGATTTTGGCTGCAGCAAGAGAATAAAACTCCAGTTAATTTAAGCAGAAAATGAATATATTAAAGGATATTGATCATCTTCTAGGCCTAGAGACTCAGGTGTAGAAGTGATAGCTAGAACAATTTCATGAAGACACCAATGCCTCCGTTGTAGACAATACTGCTGGGACCATGGACACCTCAACTCTGGATGCTGTTCCTTGCTGATAGAACTACCACCACTGCAGCATCTGGAAACCAAATGTGGTTATTGCAATTAATGCTGCTATCTGTAGAACAAATTCAGCAGTCTTTGAGGTCACTCATTCCAAAGTCAAAATCTAGTACAAATCCTAATGCTTATGCATAACTGCAAGGGAGACTGGGAAATGAGGATCTGACATTTTCTGTTTCAAAAGTGGAAATTTTATCAGGGTCCATAAAAGGGAGAATGCCCTAAATACAGAAAGGTTAATTAACTGGGGTGGTGTGGGGTAGGGGGAAAAAAAAGATTTTACATGGATTTCATTTTGTTTTGGAGGAAAGTATGAAACTCTGTCCTGGCTCGTATATGACATATTTGCTCTCCTACATGGGCCTACTGCATGTACTATATTATTCAGAATCATAGCATTTCAGAGTAGAAAGTTCCCTATAGTTCCTTTAGTTAAAAAGCCTTGTAGGAAAACAAACAAACAAACTCAAGTTAAATTGAGGAAAACACAAGTGGTCTGAGGTAACTGTGAATTTCTGGTGCTGACTAGAGCCTTACCATTTGGGGCCCTATCCTGCAGAATCCTTGAGTCCCACATATACTTTGGCAAAGTCTCTACTACAGTGTCAACAGACAGATATGCTTCTAGTAGAGCCTCTTCCTGAAGAAGCTGGTGGCATTTATTACAAGTATTATTAAATCTGTACATAATATTTAATGTGTATTTAAAAATAATCTTATTTTTATTACTAAAATAGTTTACTAAAAACAAGAAAAAATATGGAAGAATTTAAAGTAAATGGTAAAATCTCTATCCTCCACTTTTCTACTCTCTAAGAATAATCAGTGTTAAAAGCATGGTGGGTGCCTTTCAGGTCTTTTTCCATATATGAGTATACATTTACATTTTTTTTAGATTCAAACATATACATATGTACTGTTTAATTACTTCCTTTGCATTCCACAAATATCATGGACATGACTGACATTTGGTGCTGACTAAATTTGACCAAAGTTTAAAAAGCCATGATTGAAAAGAAAAAAGTATATAAGTATGTTATTGGCAGATCAGTGGGTACTACATGAAGATTTAGTGCATAAGAAGAGGATGTGATGAATCATGAAAGACTTGGTGGTGAGGTGATTTTTTTTTTGGTTCATTACCCTTGTGGTGCCAAAGTATAAGTTGTTTCATATAGATAATTACCAACTTCATCTATATTCAGGGCTGATTCAGAACATGACTGGACATCCATAACTACTACACATTCCTCATTTTTAGGTGAGGAACTATTTTCCTGGTGGTGGGGTTGAGAAGGTGGGCATGGTTAGGAGTTTTGCCCAAGATCACCCAGCCTGGAAAATGGTATAGTTGGGACTTTTCTCCAAGACCCTCGCTCACTGCATTGTGTTGCTTTGTTTTCTGCAGCATTTAAGAGAGAGAAGGAGGGCAATGCTTTGGAAAACATTTATGTGAACTACCACATTTGATTTCTTAGACAGTAGTGCTCCATGCTGCCTTTGTGTCTGTGAGTTCTTCCATGAAGTATTGCTTTTGACTTTTCTTTTGCCTAGTATGTGCCTTACTAACTGCCAATAACTATCTTTGGGTACTACAATCTTTGTACTTCAATCTTCTCATGGGAATTTCCACTTTTTGTTTCTTTTCAGTCATGGATTTTTTAAATTTGGTTAGATTTTGGCAGAATATTGAACATGATATATAATATCAGATGGGTGACAAATGGTGGAGGGGGACAAAGAAAGCCAATCATGTTCTCATAGATGCCAAATACACTGCATTAGGGAATGGTCATTTAGTTCTAGATAATGAGGATGGGATGGGATACAAATTAGGACAAAACACATTCCAGCTTATGGCAGCTTATTTTCTCAAACATTTATCCCAGACATCATGACACTCCATCAAAAAACAAAACAAGACAAAAACTGTACATTCCCAATCACTTCATAAAAGTTGCATAAATTTTCAAATACGGATAAAACTGAATTTTCTTAGTATTTTAGGTTTAAAAATAAATAAAAACAAGTGTTCATATATTTTCTTCACATACTTCAGTATATCATTTTGAGCACTCCACTTTGGATCCCTCTGTTCCAATCAGGGAATTGAATATACATCAAAAAATATTGTGACACAAGAGAGCATAAATGGAGCTGGGGTTGCGACTCAGCAGTAGAGTGCTTGCCTATCACGTGCGAGGCCCTGGGTTAGATCCTCAGCATCACATAAAAATAAATAAATAAAATAAAGTTCATTGTGTCCAACTACGACTAAAAAATAAATGTTAAAAAAAGAGAAAGCATGAAGAAGACTCTAATATGAGCAAAGCATTCTTAGACCATCAAAAAAGCATCCCTGGAAAGGAAGGCTGAATATTTGCGGACTCATATCTACTCCTTGGTCTAACTCCCAGTCTTAGGCTAGAGATTAATACCAGTCTTGGTTTCTTTCATTGATGCCTATACAAAGGCTACCTAATAAAAAGGCTGCACATGAAGAGACTACCACACACCTAAGGCATCTGTTTCCTGGTACTTTGAGTGGATGAAGGCTTAATAAATAACATGCTATTCCATGATGATATGGATAGACACTTTTGACCCAGGAACCAGAGTCATCCTTCACTTTCTACACTCAGTGGTAGGGCAGAAAGTGCCTTGGATATGGAATCAGGAAGCTGAGCTGCATTGTATCCTTTTTGTATGACTGTAACCCTTACTCTCTCTGAGCCTTAATTTTGTCATCTGTAAGTCTTAGAGTGGATAATTTGCTTATACAAGTTCACACAGTTAAGATGTACAGAGACAGGATTCTGAGGCTTGTTGGACCCTAAAGCCTGTGTTCTATTCACTACACTTGGATGCTGATCTCATGGGGCTCTGGAGAAGTGAATAGGTAACATGAGCATATCTCATCAACTTTGAAGAACAAGGTTACACAGAGTGTTAAGATTAAGTCCTCAAACTCAAGTCTAAATTCAAAATATGTTTTTCTACACAGCCCTAAAAGTCAACAGAGTATGATTTGGTTGGAATGAAAAGGTGGAAAAAGAAAATTTCAAAGTTAACTTCCTTATGCTTGATAATCTTCAAATTCCCATCTTAAAAATGCTCTGCAATTT